ACTGATCTTGAGCCCCGTCTCTACCCCTCACAGTAATTCATACCTCCCTAACTACCTCCCCTCACATTGATCCTGACCTCCTTCTCTATCCCCTACCCCTCACAGTAATTCATACCTCCCTAACTACCTCCCCTCACATTGATCCTGACCTCCTTCTCTACCTCCCTCCATTTCACACTTATTCAGACCTCCCTAACTCCCTCCCCACATAATGATCCTGACCTCCTTCTCTCAACCTCCTTACTTCTCACACTTATTCAGACCTCCCTAACTACCTCTCCACTGGCATTAATCTTACTTTTCTCATGCTAACTCAGTCATCTTGTTTCTCTCTTCTCATCCTAACCCGGGACTTGGGAATACAAACAGTGAACTGCACCTGGCTAATGAGTGTTGTCCTGTAAGTCTCTTTCAGTGAGGACCCCCCCCCCCCCCCCTGTGGTTCCCTGGTCAAGGATGTTTGACCTCTCGTTTGTAAATTTCTTATGTTCTTATCTTCTAAAATAGGATGAAACCATCTATCACTGCACAACTGTCTTTGTTATATTCTGCAGGCAAAGATGGACATGGTGAGAACTCTCCTGCACCCCAAAGGCCATCATTTCCAAGTAACCTTGAACACTTGTGCAATAACGGTAGGGGTGAGCCCTGACCTTTGACCCCAATGTCCTCTTCTTGCACACCGGCCCCATGGGGTTGCGTCCATGTTTAGATGAAACATTCTGTCTGCACCTTAGTTCTGTTTGACAGATGATTTGTGGGCACTCAAAAAAAAAAAATTACATTTTGTAAGTCGCCTGTTTCCCAGAGGATTCTAGCAGGTGTTGACATGCAGATGCAACAGAATGGACATGGGGCATCTTATCACCTTGCCTGACAAATGCTTTTGTCATGAATCAGATTTACACTTTCTATAATAATTCTACAAGAAATTACATATGCATGCAATTAAATGTTCTTCGGTCCAAAATTTCATTCATTACTTTCTTGCATTTAATATATGTTCGTGTGAACCGATACATTTGAGGATAATGAGATTTATCCTGGCTTTTTCAGAAGGTTAAGTGATGTAGGACACCTGGATTGTTGTGACAGTATGTGTGGAAGATAGGATTATGGGACTGATAGCAGGGCTAATGCGGTCGCCATGGTTACGGTATGGCTATACTGTGAGACATCAGAAATAGAGGGAGTCCCTCTGTACGTTAGGTGGCTTGATCAATGGGGTGCGGTGGAAGAAAGTTGTTTGTTGACAGGCCAGTGACGTCTTGCCACTAGGGAGCACTGGGTCTGGGTTAAACTGGAGTCAGAATGCCTTTGGCTTTGGAGCAGGGATGTACTGACATGGTCTTTGAAGCAAATACTTTAGCACGAGAGATAGCAAGAGAAAAAAAAAATTATCAAATTACCTCTCCATTTCATGATAATGGATTGTTGTAGTTAAAAAAAGAATTTTAGGCGAGTCAGACTCTCTGGAATTTATGTCTTGTGAGAAATGACATTGTCTTTAACCCCTGTTCTGCCGAAGCATCCGATGGCAGAAGAAACGCGGCCCATCATAAAAGCAGGAGTCCCTTCTGAGGTTTATCAGTGACTGCAACAATCATAATGGCGATCCTGTGTGTGATGTCATCAATAATGTGGTACTTCGTAAGCTTATTATTGCAGGTTTGGCCAGCATGTCATAGGCTGCGGCAGCCCAAGGACTCGCATGCTTTCCCCAAGCAAACCATTTTAAAGAAAACAGCCTAATGTTCAAGAGATCTGCGAATGTCACCAAAGTAAAATAGATTTCCGTTTTCCATTTGACCATCTTCAGCAGCATGAAATAAATAACTGTCGTTTGATGACCCAGCCAGAAAAGATGCATCCTTTGCCGTCAATGCATTTTAAAAGTGTCAGTGGAGATGGGGGCTGTTATACATAATATATGGCTTTCCATCCCCACTGCAGTCCAGGAGCATCGACGTCACATCCTGGAGCTTCAGTGGTACAGAAACAGCCCTCAGTCGGTGGCAGCCTGTGAGTCTGGAGCAGTGCTGCGAGGTGAGGCACCCACCCTGTAAGCTACCAAGTGTAGTGAAGCCTCACAAGCTACAATGGCACAAATAGCATGGTAATGCTATTGCTAAGGCTACGGCTATCATTAATGCAATGGCAATCAATACTATCACAATCATTAATGCTATCGCTATCATTAATGCAATGGCAATCAATACTATCACAATCATTAATGCTATCACTATCAAAATGCTATCACTATCGTTAATGCTATCGCTATCAATAATGCTATCGCTATCATTAATGCTATCACTATTGCTAATAAATGGTCCCATCTACACACAGAGTGACCTGCTGCTAGGTAGCTACAGCAGCTGAAATGAGGTGCTCAGGGCGAGCTGGAGGTTACCTCTGAGGCTCTCCCTGGCTGATTTCTGCAGCGGCCTGGCTTTGCTGCCCAGGGACCCAGGACACAAACCCCGACAGTCATGGGAGGTTCAACTGACTGTTGAGCTGCCTGCAATCCCCCTGTCAGTCATGGGCCTCTACTCGCTGCAAAGGAGCTAAGGGTATTTATCTGTACAGACCAAACAGAGATCATACTTGTGGCATCTACTGTCTGTTTTGGCGAATGGGGAGGGGTGTGTTTATTTGGCCTGCCCCCGTTTACTGGGCCCACAAATACGTGGAAGACCTAAAATACTTGTGATGGACATGGATTTCACACCAACCATAGTCTAAGCCAGATATCATTACATATTACAAATCAGTGTGTGTGAGAGACTGGTCCATCATTAATTGCTTTTAGATGAGGCTCAGATCACCTAAAATGGCTGAAGAGATATCATAATTTGTACAGTTTAAACATAATGCCAGCTCTGAGATAGGGACATGAAATGTACAACGTAAGGAAAAATTCGATCAAGAATGTTTTATTGTTCAGCATATTGGAGCATTTAGGGAGTCTGCGGCTGGTGAGAATGAAAATGCGAATTGAGTTTTAATTTGGACCATGAAGCCATCGGTAGATCATTCTTTTGGACCAGGCTGGTTTCCCCATGCCCAGGTGGAATGAACTGGCTGCAAAGATGGTGTGGGAATTTCAAGGGAGAAATGAAGATGGGTGACAGTGGAGATGAGGTGGCAATTATGGGGATTAATGGCGTGTGGTGGGATGTCCCTTAAATACCTCTCATACCTCCAGCCAGCAAATGTTTCGGGCTGTTTTACGAGAGGGGGAGACAAGCTGATACCCCATGTAAGAGGAGACAAGCAGAGAGGCATGAATTGTGTAAAGCTCTCTTGCAGTGTAGTGACCTCAGGGTATATCAGTGTTTTTCTTAACATTGTGGGGACCATTTTTCATGGTCCCCACAAAGATCTGTGAATGCAGTCAAAAAACTAAAAAAGCCAAAAGTCTCATATTTTGTTTGGTTACTTATGGTTAAGGTTAGGGCTGGGTAGGGGTTAAGATCGTCCTAAAAAGGACATTGCTGCATTGGAAAGGGTGCAACGTAGGGCTACAAGAATGATTCCTGGTCTTAGAGGAATGTCTTATGAGGAGAGGTTAGCTGAGCTGAATCTGTTTAGCCTTCAGAAAAGGAGACTAACCCCTGTTTTACACTGGATGCGTGTCCGCTGCGGTGCGTTTCCGACACAGCAGCCGCAGGTAATCGCCGCCAATAAAGTCAATGCATCAGTTTACACCAGATCCGCCGCGTTGCGTCTCCGCTACTGTATGTCTCTGTTCCATCACATGACCGGCAGTCCGTCGAGACGCGCATCAAGTCTATTTTGACGGATACGGATCAAGAACGTACTGTAACACAGAGCGCATGCACCAACTCCCCTTAAATAAAGATAAATTATACTATATAGTTATAAAATCATATATATGACCCACATATTATTAACCAGTGTATTTAAACAGCCAAAAAACTCTCAAAAATCTTGAATCCATGTCATTCATAAATGGACTTTAAATGCATTAATTGTTGTCTGTAGGTTACAACAGAACAAGCACAACATTAAACACAGCAATGCAACAGAATGCTAAACACATTAAACACAATTAAAGTTGAGCAACAACAATGACAAAATGAACTAGGGAGCCTACTAATTATGTTTGTAGTGCGCAGAAATCAGCAAAACAAAACGCTGTTGATTTACCCACGGTTGTTATCGCGTTATCCCGCGCGATCTTAATTCTCCCGTGATCATGTGATCTCGCAAACCAGCGGCGCGCCGGATCAGATACGGACCACAAACACATCCAGTGCGAATTGGCTGACGGCCTCGGACGAAATGGGCATGCAGCGCAGTCGCACCGCAGCGGATAGGCATCCAGTGTAAAACAGGGGTTAGGGGGGACATGATCCAGGTATATAAGATTCTAACAGGTCTCGATGCTGTTCAGCTAAATGACTATTTCAATATTAGTTTAAATACTAGAACTTGTGGCCAAAAGTGGAAATTAGCGGGAGAACATCTTAAAATTAATTTGAGAAAGCACTTCTTTATACAGCATGTAGTTAAAGTATGAAATAGTCTTCCTGCTAGTGTAGCGCAAGCTAAAACCCTGGGTTCCTTTAAATCAGAGCTAGATAAGACTTTAACAACTCTGAGCTATTAGTTAAGTTCTCCCCAAACGAGCTTGATGGGCCGAATGGTAATGAATGGTAAATTTCTTATGTTCTTATGTTTCTTATGTTGGGGCTAGAGTTTTCCATATAGAAATGACTGGAGAGTCCCCACAAAGATATAATTACAAACCTGTGCATGTGCCTGTGTGTGTGTACATGTGTGCATGTGCATATTTGTGCATGTGCGTGTGTGTGTCTGTTTGTGTGTCTGCATGGATCTGTGTGTGTGAATGTGTGTGTGGATCTGTGTGTGTGGGAGCGGGTATACCTTACCTTATGGGGATACAATGTCTCCACAACATGATGAATACCCAATTTTTTGGAGACCAGATTCAATAAAAATCTGTTTCTGCAATGAAAAAACTAGACATGCAATGGTTAGGGCTGGGTAGGGGTTATGGTTGTCATAGTTGGCATTAGCATTTCTCCCATAGAAATGAATGAGCGGTCCCCATAAAGATATGTTTACCCGACGTGTGTGTACCTGTGTGTGTGTCGTGTGTCTGAGAGATGAGAGAGTTTCTGGGAGATGAGTAAAGCGGAAATCATGCAAATCTCCTCAGATTTTCCACACAGAGCGCCGTATCCTTGTCGCCGGGAAGAATAACATCCCTCTGAAGGATTTTTCAGCAGCCTCCCCCAAATAGAAGAAAATGCCCCCCCCCCATTTTTTATTCTTTTACTCACTCACCCTGACGGATGCTAAAAGGTGAAGATGCGTCAAGGCTGAAGCTCAGGCAGACAGGCGGCACGTGTGTGAGTGCCGTCCTGTCCTGTCCAGTGTCTAAGGTAAGATCAATAGTATCACATTTTCAAAAGGTTGGCACATGCTATTTGCATATAGCTTATATATTTAAAAGAATTACGTATTAGATAAGATAAGGCATACCATCCCAGAGGGAAATTCTTGAATAATTATGATCACTAGTATATAGTAAATAAGTAATTTTATAGGACTATATTCTTTCAGGAATTGTTACGCAATGTTACTCTTGCTCTTGGTATGGGCTTGTGGTGATCACAGCGCAAAAGCACTTCATAGTGTGAAGCCTTCACTAATCCACACCACCGGGAGACGGCCCCTTTCCACCAGGATGGACGGCGGCTTCAGTGAGAAATCCGTGCTTCCTGTCGGGAGGAAAATGGCCCCACACTGTCCTGGGAAGCACTCTGCAGAGGAGAAGGAGGAGGAGGAGGAGGAGAAGGAGGAGGAGCTCCACTGGTCCTGGCTTCGGGGAGAGCAAAATACTTGGTCACATAATAAGACCTTGATATACTAAACAATATGATTTTTCTAAATGGAAACTGGAAAAAACATAACTGTGTATATGGTCTGTGCAACACCTGAAAGTTTCATGTTTTCATGTTTACTTTCTCAGAATGATGTGTGATTTTTTGTTTCTTTGGTTCTGGATGTCAGTGGGTTGGAGGCTGGGAGGAATGATGAGGGCAGGATTGGTAATCGGGTGAGTGGGAGTCAGGAGTGGGGGGGAGGCGGGGTGGTAAACGGGGGATAAAAAGCGACCTGATGAGGCAGTGATTTCATTTTTATGGCAGGAACGAACCCTGTTGTGCTGGGTGACCTCTCACATCTCCCCCTCCATCAGGTCTGCTATCCTGCAATTTCATTTCGGCCGACTGCAAGGCTCTGGTGGAGCAGAGATTTACCGGCTCGGCGCTGAGGATGAGCAGCAGACGGATCTGTGGGGGTTAGGACAGTATCAGCCAGGGGCTTCTTCATTCTCAGAGGATCTTGTGGAAGACTGCTTCCATGAAGACCCTGTTTATTACACCTAGGTTCACTGGACCAAATAGCAGTTCATGACCTCTGCTATTTATATCTATGGTAGTACACTGCTGTTGCTGCTGTTTATGAAGCTTATGTCTATGGTAGTATGCTGCTGTTGCTGCTGTTTATGCTTTTTGTATCTATGGTATCATTTCCTAAAATGCAACCCAAAGACTGTAGTTTTCCTTGAATACAGGGAGGATATTTATCTGTTGGTCATAAATATGAGACATGTCAAAAGGATCTATTTAATTGGTTGAGGCAATGTGGTTAGGGGACGATAAACAGCAGGTATCTAAAGGGGAATATTAGGCAACCACCTGTTTATGAAAGAACAGAAACAACCATGGCGAGACTGTGGGCTGATGTCACCTGGCCGGCGGGCAGCGCCAGCCTGTCGGATCACATCGCCATCATGGCTGGGCCCCGGACCCCCTTCCCCCATCACACACCCAGTTCTATGTCCCCCCCCGCAGGACGGCCTCTCTGTCTGCTCAAATCTAAATTTGGGAGCTTGGCTTTCTTTGGCCTGTGTGTGTATGTGTGTCTGCTCCCCTGTCGCATGTCTTGCCATATCTGTGTGTGTGTATCAGTGTG